CAGGTCTCTTCTTTCCACAGGAGTGTTGGGAAAGGTGAGACCCAGGTCTGCCCTTCTGGAATTCAGCAAGTGAGTGAGTGGGAGCCAGGTGGAATGTCCCAGCTCTGAGCTGCTGCTCTCCCTCACATTTCTGCAGGCAAACAGAGTGGCTGAGCAGAGTTCAAAGTGGTGATTTGATCCCTCAACCATTTCCTCCTGCATCTTGGTGCTGTCTGCCAGCTGCCAAATTGGACCAGGGCTGGGATCTGACCCCTAGAGCAGAGCCTGGTGGATTCAGTGTGCATTTGGAAAGGCTAAGATGCTGCAGAACCACATGGGAGTGACTCAGTCCTGTGTCACAGGCTGGACACACTTCTGTCTCAGGCTCCTGTTCAGCTCCCTGTCCATCCAAACTCCCAGGTCCCTTCCTGCCTGGCTGCTCTCCAGCCACTCTGCCCCCCACTACTGAGGTACCTCAGGCTGCTCTGCAGCTGCTCTGGGCTCTCCTCCTGCCTCTGCCACTGCTCTGCTCTGTGAATTTGGGTGAGTCATTTCCTCTTGTGTCCCAAGTCTCTCCCTCCTGCTCCTGTCTGTTTAGACTACAAACTTTTCCTCCCAGAATTGCTGCCTGAGCTGTGCATGGAGCTCGTGGGACTGACACAAATGTGCTACCACCAAGAGCTTTCCACACATGAATGAGGGAGCAGAAAAGCACATTTAATGTGTTTTTAGCTTGTCTAATTTTTAAAGACATCGAAATTGAAGGAATCATAGCAAGTTACTTTAAATTAACTAATTTTTTTCAACTAAAATAAAATTATTTATCTAGAGAACTGATTTTCCAGATTTTCACTTCGTGCCAAAAATGTTAAACTTCACACCTGTTTTGTGGATGTCAGTGAGGTGCTTTTTGTGTCTCTTTCCATCCCAGGTTTGTTTCTTTGTGTGCCTTTCCATTCCTAGTTACTTTTTCCTGTTGTTTTCCCCTTTCTCCTTGGTCAGTGGGTTGTTTTTGGGTTTTTTTGGGGGTAACTTCTGTCTGGAGAGAAGAAAAAAAAAAGTAAATCTGTGTTGGTTTCCTGGGCAATTTCTCTGTTTTTATAACTGGTTTCTATTAATGGTTTTGAGATGAATCCCAGGAATCTGAAGCTGCTTTCCAGCCAAAGGGGTTTAAATCTTGTGCCATCCAGTGGTGCTGGATGGCCAGAGCCACAGAGATGCCTCATGGCACAGGGAGCAGACAGAGCTGTCTGACCTGGTGCGAGGACAGCAGTGCTGGAAGGACACACAAACACACTTCATAATCCACTCAGTTGGAGCAGTTTGCTTGGATGCTGCAGTTTAACTCCTCATTTGTGTATACCCAAGTCTCCCCCAGGAAGATGTGGATACCCAGGTCTCCCCCAGGCAATCTGCACAGCTCAGCATGTTAAGCAGATGAGAAACCTCTTAGCATTCCATCCCACTAAATCCCTTGCATACCTGAGCATTCACATTGATTAATTTATGCTCCAATGCCTTGGGCACTTAGCGAATTAGAGCTTTCCAGGTGGATCCAAGACAGGAACAAGCTGAGGAATTGCCTGCAAAGGTCAGTTCTCCAGAACATTTGCTCTTCTTGAGCAACACTCTTGTTTTGCTTCACAATGAAGCCTCAAGCTGCAGCAGGGGAGGTTCAGGTTGGACACCAGGAGGAATTTCTTCATGGAAAGGGTTGTCAGGCATTGGAATGTGCTGCCCAGGGAGGTGGTGGAGTTACCATCCCTGGAGGTGTCCAAGGAATAACTGGACATGGCACTTGATGCTCTGGTCTAGTTGTGGTGGTGATGGGTCACAGGTTGGACTTGATGATCTCAGAGGTCTTTTCCAACCTCAGTGTTTCTGTGATTCAGGAGTGCTTGGGCATAGCTTAGACCCTCACTGTGACTCTCTTTCTCTGCTTGTCCCAGAGGTGTTACTGGTTATTGCCATGCTATCCGTGATTCAGGAGTGCTTGGGTATAGCTTAGACCCTCACTGTGACTCCCTTTCTCTGCTTGTCCCAGGGGTGTTACTGGTTATTGCCATGCTATCCCTGCACACATCCCCAGCACAAAGGCTGTCAGAGCTCTGACCTCCTCATCCACCAGGCTGGTGTTTGCCTCAGCAGCTGGTTTGGAGGCTCCAGCACAGGCTGGTGATTACAATGGACTCCAGTGAAATAAAACAGAGCAGAAAACCATCTGGCCAGGCCTTCAACTTGTCATTCTGGATATGTTCCTCAGAGAAGGCAAATCAGGGGCTTTAGTGTTTATGGCTGGGGAACAACCATGGTAATTCTGGGTCTGAGAGGTGCCCAGCTTGTTACATCCCTGGGGTAATGACAGGCTTCACTTGCATCCCTGTCATTGTGGTTGGGTTTCAGCTCTGTCCTTTAGTTCACAGTTCTTGCTGTAAGTTGGATTATTTCAGGTTTGTGCATCCATTGCAGCTGAGAGATTGATTTCAGTGAGAAAAGCTTTGCAAGCAAATGAAAACTCCCAGGAAATGCATTCATTATTTACTCTTCATTCCCAAGCTGTAGCATTCCCTACTGCTTTGCAGTGCTAGGAATGATCCTTCTTCCCGTGGGTAGGTATTTTCTCCTCTCCTTTGATCATGGCCCAGCACTCTGGGTCCTGTATTTACAGAAGATCTAAAGAAGTGGTTGGTAATAAGCATGGAGGGTTGATGCCCATAAAGCAACACACTGTAATTTGTGTCAACAGAGCATTAATCCTGGAATTCCTCACTAATACATGGATTTATGACTGTGGAAGTGGCCACTTCTAGACCTCCTTCCCAGGGTTAATGGTAATAAAGGATGGAGAGTTCCTCTTGGCATCAGACCTTCCTGAGCCAATACTTGCTCAGTTTTTCTGCTTGGTGATCATCAATTCAGATTTATTGGGAGTCTTTCAGTGCAGCTTGGAAACAAATATGGTAAAATGGAAGAGATGGGGAAGAGGAAACTTCTTGGAAGACAAGACTTGCCCAGTATTGCTTCCCACAAGCTAATCCAGAGGTTTTTGGCACGGCTCTTCTTCCACCTGAGTCACATTTCAGGCCTGAAATAGAGGTGAAATCTCTATTTTCTATTGCCATAGGTTTTGTCTCTGAAATAGGGATGACTCTGGAAACAAGGGAGCCTTTCTCCTCCTGCTAGCCTGCCCTGTGCTGAGGGTGGCAGGTGCAGAGCCCACTTGGGATGGTGCAGGAATGTCCCTTTCCCTTGTGTGGATGGTGTTGCTTTGTTCAGGCAGGATCTGTGGTCAGGGTGGACAGCTGTGTAGGAGGCAGTGGGCAGCCAAGGGATGCTTCTTGAGAGAGTCAAACCCCAAATTCCTCTGGGAGTGAGGAAGGAGAAAGGCTAAGGAACGCAGTCAGATCAGCCTCCATGGAGAATCTAGTTAATTCAGCTCCTGACTGGGCAAAATGTTGACACAGCTGCTTTTCCAGGAACTCTGGAGTAGCAAAGCTCTAGGAAGGCAGAGCTGACTAGAGACACTGCAGAACTGGTGTGAGGAAAGGGCAAAGATCTGCAAAACAGCCTCCTGTGTGCCTCTTTGGGAAGCTGTTGCTCTTCCCTTGCAGTGGGTGATTTTCTTCAGGAGACTTCAGTGAGTTCAGCCTGGACTTGGCTTCTTTCAGTCAGGAAATATCCAGTTCATGACAGCAGCAACCACAGCAATCTGCCTCCCTCCCACAAGTCATGCAAGAATCAGGCAGTAACCTCTGCAGTGCCAGAGCTAGGAGGGAGAAAGGTGCAAAAAACAACCTTTAACCTATTAATAATGATAGCTCCAGTTTCTTGGAATTTCCCTGGAAGTGTCTCTTTCTGTCTTCTGCTGGACACAGCATCCTGGACTAGGTACAGCTCTGATCTAGTCTGGATGTTCCCAAAGTTTCCCTTGTTGCAGTATATAATTACTTAGATGTTTAGTTTGGTTTGTGTTATAATTATCATGCCCTTCTCTTTCCTGATGCATTTCCCCCTCTGGGGTAGAGGATAATCCATCTCCTGGTATAGCAGAGAAACAGAAAAATGTCAGAAGGAAAAATTCAAGTGGGGCAATGAAGATTATCTCCATGGATGCCATGGGAAGGCCTTGTGTTTGTGAGCTCTCTTGGGAGAGTCCCACAGATACTTATTATGGCCATGTATTTACAGATGGACATTTAAGAACCATAAACTTTAATTCCCTTTCCCCAGCATTGGCCACTTGATGACTAATTGGATTTTAGAGTGAAATCCACTAAATGGTGTTCACTGCAAATGACAATAATCTAACAACAGGATGCAAACAAGCAGGAAAAGTCACCCTGTTTTGGTTTCTGACATACATTGGCAGCAGCAACACCATTTCCTGACTTTATACCCATTGCAATTTTCCAGCAAGTCCTGTATTAAAAGTCTTTTGGCTAATTCTGTCACCTGCATGGATTAAGTTGTTAGGCCTTATTATCCCTTTGCTGGTGTAGCTGCTATTAAGCTCTTGCTTACAAATCACAGGGCAGAGTAAATCTTGTTTTCTAGGTTGTCTTTGGAGAATTGATCTTGAAGTGAAACCAGATGAGGAGACCAAGATCAAAACCCCATTGAAGGCAAGAGAATCAATCCAGTCTCCAGCAGAAAGCTGGATGAGAGTCAAGCAAAGGAGGGAACAGCTGGATCAAGTAAAGCACAAGGAAAATCAGTTCCATCCCTAGGGGGAGGGAGAAGGATTGTTTCGCCAGCCCAGAGCTGTGTGGGACCCGAGAAAACTTTCACATCAAAGCCAGGGGCAGAGCAGAAGGTCCCAGAGGGAGGGGAAGGAGGAGAGAGGCTGCAGGGATAGTGCAGACAGGGTGAGGGAAGGGAAGGAGGTGGAGTGAGAGCAGAGGGGAGAGCGGAGTGGGGAGCTGGAGGTGGAGTAACTGCAGAGTATGAGCTGCTGTCCACAGCTTGCTGGATGTAAATTAATGAGGTCATAGTGTTTTGCAGTTACAGACCAAAAAAAAAAAAAAGTCTTGAAGTTGTTTTTGAAGAGAGCCGAAAGCACAGAGGAGCTGAGGAATGGAGCAACTAGCAAAACTCCTCCTGTGGCAGATTCTGCTTCAGCAAAGTAAGCTCTGAGCTCGGGGTGGTGTGTCTGGTTGGTATTTCTGGGGCTGGAGGGGAGCTGAAGTTTTGGAGCTGTTTTCTTTGTAAGGTTGGGTTCAGCTTCCTAAGTTTGCTGTGTTTTTGTCTGTGGAGGGGAAGGAACCCTGGATTTCTCCTGCTTTTTGGGGAGAGAAGTGTTTGGGGTTGTTGCAGTGCTCTGTTCAGCATCTTTGTGCAATCTCTGTTTTCCTATCACTTGCCCTGATCAGCACATTACAATAATCTTGAAGTGAGTACTGTAAAGCTTGCACAGTTAGATTCTATGATTTGCATGTTCCAAGGTTATTTTATACTTGTGAAGAAGCAGAAACAAATTGTATGTGAGTGTTCAGGATGGAGGAAAAATATGTAGTGTGGTTTTTTTGGTTTGTGTTTTTCCCCTTGTCAGCATAAAGACAGACACAGGAATTCACTTCTGGGTAAGGTGCAAGAAAGGGATGAGGACAAGCCTTAGAATTACAGGATGGTTTGTAATTTTCCTTAAGCATAAAGGTGTCTGTGAGAGCTGGAAGCAGTTTGAGGGTCCTGAGAGCCTGGTCCCAAGTTAGGGACACCCCAGTGAGGCTTGGATGGCTGGAGGGGATTTGAGGTTGGATTGTTGAACTCCAGTACATCCACACTTGCAACACTTATAGGAAGGACCAAATACACCTCCAAGAACAGCGTGGAGACACCTGATTCAGGGTGCTGACAGCAGAGGAGAGGAGCACAAGCTTTTTGGGGAGCCCCTGCTGTCCCCAGCACTGTTAATGACAGGCTGTACCTAACCCCCTGAGCCCCCAAACTCCTCACCACTCAGGGTAAGGTGGAAAGTTCTCAGCTTGGTCCCTAATGAATCCACTCTCACCAGCTCATCTCCAGTTTTGCCTCAAGGCAAAGTTTAGGAATTGGCAATTGATGGGATCACTGATAGGGACAGAAAGGTTGGAGTGGCTGAATGTGTAGGATGGGGTAAGGAGAAGGAGGAGAGGCCACAGAAGTATTCCAGAAGCACCAACCAGTCCAGCTACTCCCCAGAGAGGTTTAGCACGTTGGCAGAGCTTGGGGAGCACCCAGGGCAGGAATAGCAGGTTGGGCTACAGAGCAGCACAGGTCAAGGTGTCCCACCTCAGGATGGGTGATCTCTGAACCTCTGACACACTCTCCAGGTGTATTTTGGAGATCAGCTCTGTGCCAGGCAGCCCAGATGTTTGGGCCCTGCTGTCCCCAGCCAGGTCAGGCTCTAGCACGAGGAGTGAGGCTGGGGAGGGGAGAGTATCTGTGCAGTTCCATGTTGCTGAGATGATCCCTCCTGGAGTGGAACCACACCCTCAAGTGTTAATGTCTGGCAGGGAAGAACAGCTCTGTGTTTGGAATGGCTCTGCAAACTATTCCACGGGCCTGGAGCCAGGGGGAAGTGCACAGAGCAGAGAGAAGGGTTTGTAAAGCTGTGCTAAGATCTGAACTGCCTGTCAGAAAGTTGGGGCAGATCTCTGAGGGCTCCTGACTTGGGGCCACGATGGTGATTGGCATCCTGTACAGCCACAAGGCTTTTCCCTTTCTGCAGA